CTCACCCCATAACAAAGAAACAGAATTTCCAGAGGATGAGGCCCAGAAATCGGGATTTTAAAAAGATTCCCAGATGATTCTAATGTGCAGCCAAGGTTGAGAACCACTGGACTAGACCAAGGTAAAGCTGCAGACACTCGCGGTGAATAAAACGCATAATTGAATGTTGTCACCCCGAGAACTGTAGTGTTCTGTTGTGGTGTCTTGTTTTGAGAATCATAGGGAAACCCGAGAAAATGGACAAATGTAATTCAGGACCCAGCCTGAGCATCCTCCACAAGGACAATGGGGACGTGGTCCTGGGGTGAGCAGGGACCAGCCTCAGGAGCACTAACAGCCAAGAGCTGCCAATGGGCTCTGGGATACTGAGGCTGGGAAGACCCAAACCAAGGCATCCTCGGGACAACCAGGAAAGTGAGACTATCTGTCAGAGGGCGGTGTTCACTACACGGGGTCGCTGTACCGTCCGCCCCGTCCACATGGCCAAAGCCCACTTGCGAGACCTTGGACTTTGGGGAATTGACTTTGCCTTTCCCAGGCTCAGGGTCATTTTGTCCTTAGGGCTGGGATACACATAAAACATTGAGAAAGCACTGACATGTGGTAAATGCCCAATAAATTGTAGCTTTTATTTCCCTAAGGCCCCACAACCTGCGTCCCGCACAGCAGCAAAAGCCCAAATAGATGGAGTTCTCCTCCCACTGCTCTCAGCCACCAGCAGGACTTACACACACACTTTCCCAACCCAGGGCTCAACTTCTCATCTGCCAGCAAGTGGTGAAAACAGACGAAATGGAGGGCCGCTTCTTGCAAAAATCTATAAAACTGGAAGTTCATGATTCTCAACAGATGCTCATGTACCTGTATAGTCTCAGTGCAGCTGCTTTTGAGGGCAGATCATGGGAAGGATTACCTCAGCCGTATGGGTCATTGCCCGGATGCAATTCACAATCGAAACTGCAATAGACTCCAGGCTCCGTCCGAGAGAGGAAGTCCTGGACACTCTGGGAAAACAGCAGTTCCGAAAATATTAATGAATATTTTATTATGTATAAATAATAATGAATAGAAATGTATAAATGTCCTTCCTTCCTGTTGTTAGTACTTTAAGATGCATAAAATAGAAAAAAACTCATAAAACATTCCGACATTATCACTTCAGGGCCATTTAGTTTTGCTCATTGGTAGCATTCCCATCTCCATTGAGGTCTTCTTGCAAGACTTCTCCGTGTCCTCGCCCTCGACTCACAGGGACAGTTATATTGTCTGCTTCCCCCCTTGCTTTGTGCCACATTCTAGAATCCAGTCTTTGTAAGAGTCTGTCTCGAGAAGTTTGATAAATAGTGTCTGGCAAATCCCTGGAGACGGACACTCACGTCATAGACTGCTGGGGTGGGGAGTCTTTTGTTTTCCTGTTTTTCAAATGTATTTTTCAATTACAGTTGACATACAATATTATATCAGTTTCAGATGTACAACATATCATGATTAGACATTTATACAACTTATGAAGTGATCGCGCCAATAAGTCTAGTGCCTGCCAGACATCACACACAGTTATTGCAATATTACTGACTATATGCCCCATGCCATACTGTATGTCCCTATGATTATTTTTATAACTGTCAATTTGTACTTCTTACTCCCTGAATCTTTTTCATCATGTCCACACTATCCAAAACAATCTACAGATTTAATGTAATCCCTATTAAAATACCAATGGAATTTTTCACAGAACTAGAACAAACAATCCTAAAATCTATATGGAACCACAAAAGACTCCAAATAGCCACAGCAATCTTAAGAAAAACACAGTTTGAAGTATCATATTACCTAATGTCGAACTATACTACAAGGCTATAGTAATCAACCAATGGTTACTAGCATAAATGCAGACACATAGATCAATGTAATAGAGAGCACAGAACTAAACCAATGCTTATCTGTTCAATTAATCTATGACAAAG